CAAGTTTATTCACATGACAATTGAAAACAAACTGTTCAAAGCTTGTGTTTTATGTATGAACGATAGCCGAATTCACAGGAACAAGATTTCTTGCCTTCGACTAAATGCATTGGAAAGGATATCAGAACAAGCTCTTATTTCGGTTAACTCGAAGGGCGGCCTATGTAATTTTTCAGGCTTGCTTCCACGACCGGAGATCGCCATGATAAGCTAGCTGCGATGGACCTCAGCATGATCGCAGTCACTCTGACATCATCATGATTTGTAAGTTTTAATAGTTATTCCAGTTTTGATATATTTTCAAGTTTCACCATACCTGTTTTGTTCTGTTTTCTTTTTTAACACACTAAACTATGTATGATGCACGATCCTTCGCAGTAGATAGCGCTATTTATGCAATCCCGTACAGGCGTGATTTTTTTCAGGTCTGATTTCCGCTATTGCTATCTACTGCGAAGGATCGTGCATCATACGTATTTAATACCGCAGTTCAAAAATATATGAACTTCATATATTCATTGTACACTAAACTATATTTACTATACGAGTGTTGGCTGTGTTTTAATTTATGTTATCGAGGTAAGTTTACAATCTAACTAAGCGTGAAAACATTCAAGATTAGGACTGTCCATTTCGCTTTCTCTATAAGGATTTTCGTCTCTGCACGCATACTATTATGCCTTTTACTGCAATTTACGGCGCTTAGCATGTTTCCAAACCTTTGTTTGGTTATTCCATTGCTACTTACCTGCTCGCTTATTCCGTTGTTTCACTTTCAATTAACGGAAAAAGCTAGACAAAGTACAAATTTGCAGACGGTGTGACAGCTTTCGCTCAGCTTTATGCTCTATTCTCTGATATAGCACGCCCTTTGAACCAACGGTAGGCGCTTTATATCAGAACTTAGTAAATTAGAAAAATGGATCTAACGTGAAGCTTTTGCTGCCTTTGATTTGCTTACTTTAAAAACGTCTAGGCACACAGGTTAAGCTTGAAGAAGGTCTCTCCACTTATTATCTTGAAGCCATTCCTTCTCTTGCGACTTCGGCCCCTTCCCGCTGTTTTTCTAACAGTCTAATATTTGATGATACTTTTGAATAAACGCGTGTAATTCTCAGTATTTTAAATCATATAATGTAGGTGCTATGTTCGTACGAATCGACATACTAGCAGGTATTCCTAAAGAGATTTAAGGATGGACAGCACGACCCGTGAAAAAAATTAGACGACCCGTACGAGTAGTGCGATTCGTCAATACATTAGACGATTCGCACGGATCTTACGAATCGACATACCGACCATGCCAGCAACCAAAACATTGAGGAATCCCTAAAGCGATTTACGGATGGACAGAACGACCCGTGAATACATTAGACGATTCGTGCTAGTCGTTCAACAAGAAGAGACCTTACAAGTCAGTTTTGCGACTCACTCGTTACGATCCATGGGATTGGACAACCCTCAACCAGTGAGCCATGACACGAAATAAACACGACTAAAGACAAAAACTGTCTATTTTTGCATTTATGATATACAAAGTAATTAAATGATTTTTCTTGTGCATTTTAGGATAAATTGACGACAAATTCTCTTCGCCCCGCTTGCTCTAGCAATTTGTTTACCCTTTGAAGACTTTTTCTAGGTTAGTTTATCCCACATTTCAATCGAAATCATGAGTAAGCCTGTACAAATTCATTAATTCGTTTCATTGATTCACATGAAAACAAATGATAATATAATGTGTATGTACCTGTAGGTCGGCACACAATTCCAGCGTCATCATTATGTCCACAGTTGTGAACTCCCCATCCTCCATGACTGCACTGTTCTATCAGCGTCTCATTTCCTACACAATTAACGTCATCCAGCCATATCTGGCCAGTTCCTTGTCGAAATGTTGCATTACCTGGAGCTGATAAAGCTCCATCGTATCTAAGCTGGCGACAGACTACATCAGCGTCCTGTAAGTCCCATGAGTCGTCACAAATGGTTCCCCATGTACCATTGTGATGCACTTCCACTCGACCAGAAGATGGCGAATCAGTGGGACTCACCAAACGAACTGTTGCTGCGATAAAAAAAATTAGCTGAAGGCCGCGACAAAACTGGTGCATTCATAAAATTCAAATTGCTATCATGATTATGTGCCGGGGAATAAAATTTAAAACTACCGACCGCTCACTGATAAACCCTTTTTCTTTTATTTTGTGTTGTACAATCACAAAAAACAAAGCGAAACATTTTGCAGGAAGAGAGAAAAAGAGGATAGGTTAGAGTTAGGATACGAGGAAAAAAAACTGGTTTGCTATTCCAAAACTTTACCATGTCGTCAAATATTTTGTGACAAATCTTACTCTTACAACATTGAGATTCATTAAAATGACTGCTTTCTTAATAGTTTTAAACAGTTTTCCATGGAACTAGAAATTTAGACGCATTATGTTCTCATCAAAACAAAAAAAGGGCCTATAGTAATAATTTGAACAAGTAGAAATTTTTCTTCTCAACAACGGTCTGTCTGATGGAACTTTAAAGATATTGAATCTGCAGACTTTTAAAAAAAAGGTGTTAAGCAAGGTTGCACTTGAACGTTCCGCCATATGTCATTAGTTTAGTGAAAGATGCTTCTTATTCTTCTACGTGAAAGCATCAATTTAAAGGGGAGGAA